GTTCTAATTATCCGAAATAAAAAATCCAAAATTTTTTCTTTAAAATATGATCTTGCGCAGATCTTGAACCTAAATTTAAAAAAAAAATCGAAAATTAAAAATTCAAGACACTTTAAAAAAAATCGATTCATTTTTTTTACAAACAATTTGTTATAAACAATATTTATTATTGATTTTTTAATGATATTTTAGGTTCAAGATATGATCAATAACTTAAAGAATATTTGTGTGAAATTTGAAGTCGATCGATCAATTAATTTTTGAGCTAGGTTGCACCGCGCGCGAAAAAATGTGTCTTGAGAAAAACGCGTTTAAAGTTTTCGATAGGAAAAAGTAGTACTCAAGTAATGATTAAGTATACCGCTATATATGCTTAATCTGCAATGCCAGGGCCATATAATATGCCTTCCTGCTCTGCGAAATCATCCATTTGAGCCGTAAATAGCTAGCTTATTTAGTCAAGATGCTGAAAGGTAAAGCGTTCCTGCTCGTATACCTGCGATCGATGCCATTCGGAGTGCGTCACTTTGATGACTCCATGGGGACTCTTAGGGCTCCAATTTGAGTTTACAACATCAACAATACATTCTTCAAATGTTAAATGAATTTTATAAGCAATAAAAAAAAAATGTCAAAAAATTCGATTCTACATGACCTTCCCCCCTTAATATATAGCAGGCATATCGATAATGAGCTTGGATTAACGCTGACATCACGATAAAACTTCTGTAATGGTTAACTTTTATTTAAAAATCTTTAACTTTAATAATGATAATGATGAGATGATGGTTTTATGCTTGTCTGTGCAAGCTACGAGAGCTATGTCGAAACACGGACTATGACTACGTGAGTCCAATTGTACAGAAAGAAATTGTAATAAAAAACTTAGTATACGCGCCTGTTAGCTGAGCTACAAGTAGTAGGAATCATTTAACAAAACGAAATAAAGAAATTGCAATTGGACACACGCTACAAGCAGGTTAAAATTTAGATCGCATATTTATACATGTACATGTTTGTATCAATCTAATTTCTAATTTCGCCCACTTTGGCTTAACCATGTACCATCGGATACCTGAGAGTAGTGTACATGTTGTGAAAATGAACAGCTCGAAATATCTGCTATCAATTCGCATAGGCTGACACTCTTTGCTTCTTGCCAACACCTTTCTGCTGGTATTCACGCTTTCGTCTTTGTAGACTTTGACTCTCACACAACACACACAGCGCTCTCTCTCTCTCTCTCACACACACACACACACACAATTTTATATTGAATGTGAACATCTTTCTTTCTTTCGGTATCTTCTTTCTAATATATTTCGTAATGAGCGTAAATCCGCTCGTTACGATAATTTGTACATAGAAGTGATGTTTTGTCGTTTTCTTGTGCATGCAGGCGGCTCTCGGAATCACAATTTAAACATTCTCTGAATCGCGATGCGGATATATTTTCAAAGAGAGACACCGCCAGTACTTCCAATCCCGGAACTCCAAATAGTCCTGGATCGCACAACACATCTTCCAGAGAAAATGTCTTCGAAATCGGAAACAACACCTTGCCAAGAGGTAAGAGAGTGTAGTCATTTTACAATTTAATGTGGTACCTTATACGCGCGAGATCGTAGAAAGAGTTATTTACGTAATGAAAGTCAAATTTAAAATGATAAATATCTTCTCGACATTTACATAATCTACGAATCCATTGTCGTCCAAGGTCCACTACAAATTGTACATACGAATATTTAATGTTGTAGAATGTCGACCCACTATTTTACAGAAGCCAAAGATTAAAAAAATTTTTTTATCTTTTTAATTAATTTATTTTTTATTTAATATATATAAAGATGGATTTGATGTATTTTGATGTAAAGATTGATAATTTAATAACATGATCATGTACAGAATTAATTAAAAATATATAAAATGATTAATAAAAGCTTCTGTTAAATCGCTGTGGTCATCATGCTATTTTGTCACTGGTTATTAGCCTTGTGAGAAAATGCTGGATGGTATTCAGTATGCATCTCCTAGTATCTAGCTGTTGTCGAGTCGTTGATAGACAGAGCACATTATTTTGTTTACTTTTATCCTTATTGTTTCTGTCTTTTTTTTTTACTTCAATTTCCAATATGTTAATTCTTTGATTTCTTGCCTGTTTTGCAACCTTTGATACTAACACCCTATAGATTATATGGTTCATGTTTGGCACAGATGAGTATAACGAGATTTGAAACAAATCTCTTATTATTTGTAATTTTATAAATATGAATATTTAACCCGTGTTAAGTAAGAAAAAATTATATAAATTAATATAATATTAAATATTATTTAATTATTAACACTTGCATACGTATAATAGTTTATATATTATACACTTGCGCGCGCGGTAATTCTTGATAATATTTCAGGGGAATGGTTCTAAAGATAGAATCAAAGAAAGAAAAAAAATTATATAAAAGAGATAAACACGTTTATTTCTCGAATAAATTAAAAATGATGTTTAAAACATCTTTCTTTTTCATTGCAATATATCTCTCCTCTTTTTAAAATAAAATAATTCGTATTTTATTTTTATTCTAAATGTTAGATTTAACATTTTAAGTACCGAAATGTGTAATTAAAAATTACTCTATATTATTTTCTTAAAAATATAACGGAATAACACATATTTTTTGATAATTATTTTTAGATCTTGTATTCTCAAAAGCATGTTTGCACGACCCAATCCTTTGGGACAACCTCTATCTAATAATATCATTCGTTAATTTTTTTCATTTAAACTCATTTTTGTCGATGTTTTATTTATTCAAATGTATAAAAGCTGCAGGGTCTGTTATTTATGCGGTATTTGTAAATTAATATAATTTTTAATACGAAATATATTATATTATATATATGTGATATATATATATATATATGTTTGTATATTAAAATAGCTAATAAAATAACAAATAGGATTGTCCCTAAGTAAATGAAAAAAACATAGAGTAAATAGCGAGCTCACTTTGCCTGACATAGAACCTTGTAATATGCCATAATTGTTGCAATGCATTGCTGCTATTGATTTTTATTATCTTGTAACAGCGTAGTAGCAGTTTTACTTTTTCATTTACCTAATGTACATTAAATTTTGTAGCATGACTGCACATATATCCATATACAATGTACAAGAGTCAATTCCACTATCCAAGACAGAGAAATCCATGTTTAATTAAAATTCGTGCATTAATTTACGTCTATCGTCGACTCTTCAATCAGTAATTAAAATAATTGTTTGTTAGCATTCTCGTATGTATATAATTACAATAAAAGTTTTATGATTTTTTACTTGAAAACGACAGGGACTTCTGAAATAATCTTTTTTTATTTATTTTTATATTTGAGAAAATTAATATAAAGTATCCTTGTTTTTATTCCTTATTATTTCTGAAAATATATAACAAAAATACATAAAGTAAAAATAAAAATTCAATTGAAAAGAAGAACAATGATAAAAATAAAAATATAAATTTTTTTCGTTAATTACATTAACAAAAATTCAAGGAAGACCCTGCTTAATATGATATATATTAAGATCTGGTTGGCATCGCATTTAGCCATTATGTTAGCAAACAATTATTATCGATATACTGTAGAAAAACCTATAAGTGGCGTCGTTTTGTAATACGTTGATTGACGGTTTTATTGACGGTTGTTGCAGCGACCGTGCGAGTGACTCTACGTAGGCGGGCTGACGGTAATCCTCAATAAACAAACCAAGTTAGGTAGTAATATCTTATATGCCTAATTCAAAGTGAATGTGACGTCGGTAAAGTCGCACGTAGTCTTATACTTCTGAGAATATAAAAGGAAAAAGAATCTTTCGCGCGCCGTTCGGTGACGCGCACTCGTTCGATGTGTTTCTGAAAAGTGTATTTGGCCAATCTACTTATGTTACCACACAATGTCTCTGATCACAACGATGCGGGAAGACATTCGCATCCTTGCATTGTAATAATTTTGCTTGTGCGCAACTGATAAAGTTCGAAAACAATATACACTTTTAACACTTTTGTCACGTGCGTTTTTAATGAGACCAAACTTCCTGTTCGCGAGTCTCTGTGAACCTCGGGTTATCTTTGGTATGATTTATTCCCGAGTGTATACAGATATACAATGTAAATATATTTGAGTAAATTAATAGAAAAATATAAAAATAATTTAGGAAGTACATGACAGTGTATATATTTAATATATATTAAACCGATAGCGAGTGAAGTGCGTATATTTATAGTTTTAAATACACCGCTCGTACTTGAAACTCCGTTATTAGCGAGTGATAGTTATAACGTGATGTGACATTGTGCAGCATTGGAATAAGTCATACCGAACGCGCGAAAATTGTTACTACTAGATAAGTTACTTGTTGCCATATTCTAAAAACTTGAAAATAACTTTGTTATACGAAAGAAAATTATCTATGTGACATTGTTATTTGAAGAAAAGGAAAAAAAGTGAAAATGATTGTATACTTGCAAGCGGAAGCTAACCCTTGTCTGAAATGGCTGATATTTGTTGTGTTTTTAAGAGTTTAAATAACAGCGTTTTTATTACTTCACATTGTCTTCGCATGCTTTGATGTAATGCATATATATATATACACATATATATATATATATTGTATTTAATATTATATCCTACTATGCACTTGTTGTCCTGAGTCTACTCATTTAACATACTGTGATTTAGAAGTGTACCAAGTGATATGCATATTTATTCTTCAGAACGTAATTTTAATACTATTATCAATTGTATTGTTATTTGTTACTTGTTTATATTTGTTTTTCCTCGGATGTATAAGACGAGCCTTTTAGTTGCATGGTCACTGTTAAATGAGTATACACTTATAATTTTCTGTATTAATATCTAAAAAAGATACGGTATGTATACACGCTATAACTAGTTCCGTCGATGCATATTTTCAAAGAACTATCATTTGTATATGATTTTAAGACTATTTCCAAATCTTCCCACTATTCTAAGTTATTGATATCCCGCAGAGCGTAATAGACACACGTTTAGAGAGCTTTCACTTAATGAAAATATACATCGACGTATATGAATACAAATGCACTACGTATAGCTATATAGAAGAGTTTAAGAAGACATCCGATGAAATTCAACAAAATTTGAGGGGGAGGAGGGAAGATATAGAGTGAAAGAGTGAGAGAGAGAGAGAGAAAGAGAGAGAGCGAGAGGGAGGGATGTCTCTTCTTATTTATTACATTTTTCGACAAATTTTATAAAAGAGATTTATATGTATGTAGAAATAAAGGAGTGAAAATATAATGACATTCCGAGTATTCTTATGCATACATCCTACAACACAACAACAGCAACAAGAACAACATCCATCCATATCGTTGTCCAATTATTGTGCAGACACATATACGGACACATACCCATGTAGAATATGCATAGATTCTGTCTCGATTGTTTTCAGATAAAGTAGAGGTACACGAAGAAGACGTTAAAGCAGAAACAGCGGCACAAATTAGAAGGGAGTCGCAAGAAACTCTGGAGCAGAATTTCACTCCCAGCTTAGCACGCAGATTGAGTAGACAATTTATTGAACAAACCCGACAGTCTGTACCGCGTTCACCATCCTCCTCACGCGACAGTAACAGATATTATCAGTCGCCGACGAGGGATTTTGCGCAGAGTCTGGTAGGCCTGAGCGAAATCGCGAAACGATATTCCACGTCCACGACTTCTGATCGGACCGAATATAGAGGTAGATCGCTCGATCGAGGTATTAGGAGAACCAACAGCTTGCTAGAGCCGTGCAAGTATGATAAATCGGAACGGCATTCACCGCGAAGAAGCATCAGCCTGTTCGACGACGACGACGACGACGACTGCGATAACAAGCTGTTGCCGCCTCTACCGAAACACATAATGACGCTGGGTCGCAAGTACAAGGATTCAATTAGATCGAGTGTCATTGGTAACGCGAGACGAGATAGCTTTCACGGTTACAGAACAGACAAGATCCAGGAAGAGCCAGGCGATGACACATACTTGTCCGTTTGCAAAGAGGAAATTGATAACATGACGGAAAACGGCTCTATATCGGAAGGTACATCGATATCTGTGTGCAACTCTAATACTAATTCGATGGACAATACCACTGGCGTCACCACTACTTCGAGCGTATCAGCCAAATCCTGCGAGATCTCACCCACGGAATCCTCATCGAATCTAGGTGATTATGGTAAGTCGATTTGTAAGTCAGACATCTCCAAGAGTTTCGAGAACCGATTGATGGCTGCAGAAAATTTAATTAAGGAATCAAAATTGAAGAACTTGTCGCAGCAATTCAATCCGAATCTCAGCTGTAATTACAAAGATATGGACAAGTGTGACAAGGAAACTTTAATGACCACTTCAGACCCATTGTCGGCAGCAAATTCCGTCACGTCCAAGAGACGCAGTTGCATCCCGAGTCTGAGATTACGTTCAGGTTCGTTGACCAGAGAGTCGAGCGTGAAATCGTTCGCCGGCCCAGCTGACGTATCGGCCGGAAACGTTAATCAGGAAAGGTCGATCCTAAGCAAACTTTTCAGAGGCAGTGGCAGTGGTACCGATAAGGAAACCGAATCGAAGGACAATAAAAGCGAAAAATCGAAACAACATCGTATCTCGCGCTTCTTGCGACCGGACTTTTTCGACACGCCGCGAGAGGAGAGTCAGTACGTGAAGGAGAAAGAAGCGCAGAAAGCGGCGGAGAATGAGCGCCGAAAATCGCGATTCATGAGGCGAAAAAGCGAGAGCAAAGATCGTAAAGAGGATGATTCAAGGGACGAGAAGATCTGCAAGGAACAGAAGAATGAAATAAATACGCTGCAGAAAGATAAACTAGGCGGTGCCGTCGTGGCCGCTTCTTCCTCTTCCTCGTTCGCCTTCGAGGACAAGACCAATAAGGAGGACAAAGAGAGAGTCAAAGTCGAACAAGACTCGAAGAGCAGCTTTCTGCATTCATTGGAGAAAAAACTAGAAAGGTTGCGCTCGAATGACGAGACGACGAGTATGGTCGCGAAACCGACGATAAATGGCAGCTCGATGAAGGAACGTGGGTTGCGCGAATGCTCTGCACCGCCTATCGAGTGTTCACCCGCGGACTCTGCGGGATCGAGTTTGCTCGAGGTGAAGAAAACGCTGAGCGTGGAGAATCTTTCGCGTCATGAAGGATCAAATAAGGACGTCAAGAATGTGCCAAGCTCAAAAGGACGCGTGACGTCAGTATTGGGACTATTCAAGACGAACACAGATACGACCAAGCGAAACGCGAACGGTAGCAGTCGGACACAGAATACAATTATGAGTAAATTAAAAAGGAGCCCGCCCAAATGCGTCAAATCGGCCGAGTCGTCTTTAGAGGAAGATGTAACCGGGACGAGCAAAATACCGACAAAATTCACTAGGACCGACAATAAACCGACGAAAAAGCTACCGGAGAACAAGAGATCACCGGAGAAGATAGTGAGCGAAATGTGCAAAAGATCGCCGTCCAAGGAGAAATCGAAAGAGAAGGAATTGATCGCTAAGGAAAGGAAACCTTTCGTGGAAAAACAATCGAGGGAAGTTAAAAGACCCGCGCCTTCCTCGGACTCCTCGGCGTCGTCATCCGTGGATAGAATGAAGCTAGACAAAGTGGATTCGCTGAAAAAATCGTCAGACCAATCGTCGGAACTTTTGCGTAGAGTCGTGGACGATAAGCACATCCATGTCACACCCATTATCAATAATGAAGATAAGAAACTGATTAAAACCAAAAGAAACATTAATTCTCTAGTAGGCAAAAATGAGTCGGTCACGAAGATCGACAAAGGCGAGGATGTTGATAAGAATAAAATTAAGAAGCTGGTTAAGTCGAAAGAAAATGCGAGTAAAGATGAGACCAACGATTCTAGGAAGAAGAAAATAGTGCGTGTCGTGAAGAAAGTCGTTAAGAAATCCGACAGTTCCGAAAGCAAGTCTGATGAGAAAGGAAAGTCATCAAAGCTACTGACGAAGAAGAAAACCGTGACGACGAAGAAAGAGAAGAGTCCTGAAGGTCCGAATGTCATGGCGGAAGGTTCAATCGAAGGAAATGATCAAACTGATGATCAGATTACCGCGAAATCATCCTGCATGCCTGTGAAACAGGCAGAATCGGACCTGCCAGCGAAGTCCAGGGATGTTATGAAAAATGCAAATCAGATAAAAACTGATATTAAAGGAACAGATAAATTCGATGTAAACGTATCGTCTACCGATGTCTCGCAGGCGAATTCCACTCTTGGGAACGCATCGAATTCTCAAAGCATTTTGAGCTCTTTGCCTCCTATAGGCTCCTCGAGTTCTACAGCTCGGATCGATTCGAATTTCAATATCTGTCAATCGAAGCAACAACCGTTGGAACAATGTCGGCCGAATAGAGCGAATTTGAAACTCGATCTATCTAAGATACCGCAACACACGTTTAGACACGCGACTCCCAAGAGAGATTCGCCTGAATGTAGTTCACCGAAAACGAAACCTGCCGTGTCTATAATCGGATCGCCTAAAATGGACGATCCTGTGGCGGAGAGTGGTTCCGACAAATTGATGGAGCGTCTATCCAAGATGACGCACCACGCCAATATTACCGGTAACAAGATAATCATCGATAAGCCGTTACGAGCGAAAGATGTCGCCGAGTTGAAGCGAGAGGTCACCGAATGTGCCAGGATCATAGAGAATTACGTGGAGTCGCGAGATGATCATTCCAATCAGCGAACCGTTGATCATACATCCGCCTCGAACGAACCGAAAGAGATCAAGCTGAATCCTTCTGAAGGGATTAATGACGTAACTAAAGAGGTGACTAAAGAGCCACCGGATGACTGCACCAGTGAGATGTTTTCGCCCGAGGAACCCGAGAGTTTTGATTCCTGGTCGATCTGTTCGGCCGATCTGAATCACAATCGCAGCGATTTGCATTCGCCCACATCACCATCGTACTCTCTGTTTATGCGTGGCTCCGACAGCTCAGAATCGGTGATAGATCGAATACGAAGACGCAGCTTTTACTCGAGGTTCAACGATCGTAAGAGGCCATCCTTGACGGCGCCGCCACCGGGAGTGAACAGCGTCACTCTGCCTAGAAGGTTCAGCTTCAACAGTTCTAGAGAAAGGGAACGCGACAGATTGTACAATTATGGAGTTACTAGGACGAGGTAAATTCACTCTACGAGATTTGCTTCTCTTTCCGACTTTTTGCTTAAAAAATATTAATTAAATGTCGCGATCCACAACTAAACATAATAATAAGAAAAGCAAATCGAACCATGTTTTACCAATTCGTAGCTTCACGAACCAAGATTCCTCTACCGTTGTTGGTTATTTAAAATATTTCGTAGGGAGAAGGACAAAAATTATATTTTGTACGGCGACGACGAGGTGTCCTCGAGGAAATCGCCGGTCGATCGAGAGAGGTATAGCGACGCATCGAATGTATCGTCATACGGTCATCAGACGGATGCGAGAATCTTCGATCATTACGGTAGTGGCTTACCGTCTTCCTCGCATGACTCTTTAAGGAGATACGTGAGGTCCCCGACGCTGGATCTTGTCGCCTCTCGCGCCAAGTATCATAGCACGGACGTCATCGCGGACAACGATCTTGGCGGAGTCTCGTGCAAGAGTTCTCTGTCGAGATCGTTTCTGAGTGACGGCATGGCGGATTCTTCTTACTATGGTAGGAACACTTTGCCGAAGAAATACGGCTCCACCGTTGGTGGTCTAGAACCGAAGAGCGTAGAATATTACGAGGAGATTTTGTCACCGAGCAATCCTGACTATCTGTCTTCACGCGATGCCTGCCGATCACCGTTGGATATCTATTTGAGCAGATGTGAGAACGGATGCAGTCACAATGGCAATTTGGAATTACAACAGTTTAGCGCCGATAAACCAAGAACCTACACGGATGCGGAGATCGTTCAAGGGAACAGTAAGTCGCTTGGTGAGCAGAAAAGTTATTATAACGAGAAAATATATACAGTAAAAAATTGATAAAGAATGAGCATACATATTCATTCGTATAAAGTTGAATTCTCTAAGGTTTCGTTTTAATTATTCATCAACCTCGATGATTTTACATATTGCCGATCTTACAAATCGCCTTCAATCAATTTCTTTTCAATTCTTCGTCTTCGATGCATAAAGAATTTCTCTTTTTCAGAAACATAGTGCAACGCTTTAGCGAAAAAAGGGAAGCGTCCTCGACAGCTGTGGATAGCCTATCGAATACATTTGTTACCGAACGGAATTTATTTAATTCAAACAGAATGTAGAATTTTGCAAAATGATGATATACCGAACACATTTAAACTACAACGATTTTATAATACAGATTCGCGTCAAAATGTCTCGCGCTTCTTCGTCATAGCGATGAAATAGTCGCGATGGCAATAACAATGAAACGATGAATATTAAATGATTGAATATACATTTAATATAACATCGTTATATTAAAATATACGCTTAAAAATTTTACTGTTTTAGATGCGATTTAAAATCTTATTTCGTGAGTTTAATTGTATTTTAACCAGGGATGACTTTCGTTATACAAAATTCTTTGTTACACAAAAATGCATCTCACAGAAATTTTTATTTATTTTTCTTCTTTTTCATATTGCATCAAAAATTACAAAGAGATGTGAAAGAAAATATTTCACTTATTTTTTATTACACGAATCTTAACTTTTGGAAAATATAATTGAATTGGCATTATTTCTTATGACTGTAAACGCGTGCTAAGAGAATATTTTGTCTCTGATATTTATAGAAATATAAATATAAATGTTGATAGCTGCTCCTATTAGAATTATCGCAGCGACGAGATACGAAAAAATCTTGCTATTTATTTTATCGGTCTAGCTTGCGTTCCAAAGCGTCAACCTAATAAATTTAAACTGCATATGATAGGTGTTATTTTTTTATTGGAAAAGTATATCAAATTATTTATCTTTTGTCATAATTATATATTCGTAGTGTGAGGATAAAAATAATTTGTATAAATACATAAATATTTTAAGAGTAAATTGTCAAATATATTATTGACTGCAGCAAGAAGATTATCTATAATTCTATAGCGTCACGTTAATAACCAACGAATCGTTGATAATCGAAGCAGCGTGACGCTTTAGGGTGCAATAGGCCAAAGACTAGTAAAAGAAAAGGCGCGAATGGCGCGTTTTAGTTCCTTACGCGAGTATCGCTTTATACAGTCGGGGTTTCGTAATTCTTCCATTTATATTCTTTTCACTATTTTTTCTTCCACTTTGTTTATTGCGCTGCTCTTTCATTATTTTACGTTCGTCACTTGACTATGTACATACGACATAGAATAAAATATGAAATAATAAGAGAGAGCAGTACGAGAAGATAAATGGGGAAAGGGAACGAAAAGACATGAAGGAAGAGATATGAAAGTTTGACTATGTATGTACTTATGAAAATAGTTTCTAATTGGATCGATCAGAGATTGCGAGAAAAGAAACAACGATGTTATATTAGGCCTAAAAACTATTGACTGATCAGCCTCACGGTCTTCCGCTTGTTACGTATGTGTTTTCTATTGATATATACATATTTTAAAATAAATATCGGTACTCTCTTCAACTATTTTGTCTTTAAGTTTACTCTTTTTTTACCCTTCACACGAATGCGAGCGTTATTCAATCGCGTGATATTACGCGAATGATGGTTCTTGAAATTTGACAGTCAACTTTTCTGCTTCGTTTACGAAATAATAGCTTAATACAACTCGTGCGTTATTTGCGATAACTAGAAAGTTTAACTTAAATAAATTTATGGCGACCAATTTACTGATAGATCCTGTAAAACTACGCTTTTATATAGAGAGATACAGAAAAGAAAATAAATTAATAAATGTGCGAGAAACGTTTGTGCCTACTACTTGTGTAAAACCGTTAACTGGTAAATTTTATGCGAAGCACGATGTTTTCTCTCTGTCGGATGTTAGAGAGGACGATATCAACTTGATTAAACGACAGATGGAGATGATACCTACAGACATTTATTCGTTCAGACCGCCGACAGTAAATATGGAGTAAGTCGATAAAACAGTAATGAAAACTTATTAAGTTTTTTATAAATCGTTTTTTATAGATACGGTTGGTTCACTGCATCGCTTATACCCATTTCGAAAGATCCAAGATTACGCTTCTCCAGAAAACAATCGGATTTTGTTACGAATGAACTCTTACGTCGAAAACTGCAAAGAGGTCTTCCGGAAAAACTGTTTTCTGGCGTGCCATAAATGTTTGACAGACATTTCAAACAAATTAAAAAGCGGAATAAAATTTGTTTATATATAATTAACGGTTCAACAAATTTTTTAATAAATATGTCGTTAGAAAAGAGATCTTTTAATGATAACACCATCGCTGAATACTCGACGCTAAAGTTAGCTGAACTTGATAAAATTCGATACATTGATTTGAGCGATGTTGTGTCGCTGTTCCTTGGCAACAAATACCGTGGTAACTCTTTCGCAAGATGGGTCTTTAAAGTGTATACGTGTACGCTCTTTTACCGAATAAAGTCCAAATAAAAGTAAGATTTAGGACTCGGATATTCAACCTGAGCGTACAAGTCGAAAATTATACTTTGCTATCATCCATTATGAAGTTATCAAAGTGATCTGAACGTATGTATACAAATTTTGGCAACAATGCTATTAATCATGTAATAATGAAATTGTCATTAGATAGTTGTACGGGATGACAGGGAGAGCTTTCCGCATTAAAGTACAACTACATGTACACGCGGTACGTATGTATGACTTTTCTGTTATATTTTTGCAACTCTTATTTATGCAGTATGGTTTTTAGGTAACATGTCCTGGTGTTTGGTTATGTCCCAATGGCAAAGTGGCTCTGCGAATCAATGCTCTCGATTCTTGTGCGGAATCCCACGCAATAAGCCCGATTCTTCCACTCTTATTCCATGAGAAATTTACTTTCGATAAAATCTTTGTTGGAATAATTTCCTTGACGGAGCTACAAAACACTTTGGAGCAAGAATTTTTATACGCGGAATTAATACAGTGGGCAATACCGGCTAGCCAAGGTATTACTTTGGCAACGTTTGAAACAAATTTGGCAGACTTGCTGTATCCTGCGCCATGTTTCAAAGGTTTACTAGCCGGTGTGGATGTTGATCTTCTAATGGAGCCGACTAAATGTTTTCCCGTAGGTCTTTTACACCTATTGATCGTTTAATTTAATTGTAAGAGAACTTTTCACTGTGTGTGTGTGGACAAAATGATTGTTTTGCTTCAGGGTATCATAGCACCCAAAATCGAAGTCTCCACCAAAACGGTTATCGAAGAAATCTTGAAATTTTATGACACAAACAAATATTATGTCATCAATCCAAATATTAGCTCTAAGGTATTATACTTTATAGATACAAATTGAAATCGACAAACACATACAGTGAGTGCAAAAAGTATTCGTACAGAGAAAATATTTTTTAAAAAAACTTTATTTTTAAAAAGTAAACATTATCCAGTGAGAAATGAATCATCGAATTGATATCGAATCGATATCGATACGATGATTTCAACACCAATTCGACGTTGATTTGACGTTTAATTGATTATCATTTCTTGCTGGGTAATTAACAATTTATTCATGAAGAATAAAATAGACTGTATATTTCTTAAAATTATATATACCAAAAAGATATGTGTATTAATTATAGAAAATATATCATCTAAAAAATAAGCGAAAATTAAAAATACTATTGTTTGGATACTCAAAAAGTATTCGTACAGTTGAGAAATTTAGCTTCTAAAATCAGGAATACATGCGAAGCTCGTTTGTTTATGTTAGAACAGAGTATATTCATTGTAAAATTGCTAATTAATGTTTATTTTTTACAAATAAGACTTTATAAAATATTTTTTTTGTACGAATACTTTTTGCTCTTACTGTACATCGTTTATAATTTTCTTCTTTCATATTATATTTACTTGAAAATAACGAATTTGTGTAACATCGGTCCTATATTATATGTAAATTTTAGCAAACGATGTGTGGACAGAGGAAAAGACCGATTAAAGGTATTATAAGACAACGAAGAGTATGTCACACTAAGAATGAACCAAGATCTCAAAGCTGTCGACCGTAAGTGTATTATTATTAATATTACATGTTATTAATGGTATATAAATATAAATATATAAATATATATAAATATATGTTATATGTATAAATAGGTTTCGTCAGAAATCGAGCGATTCTCATCAATGTCCTTCATATACCACGAGTCATCAAACAGGATCGCAAAGTGATCAATGTTATCATTCAATAAGGAGAAATTCTATGTGCACTTATCGACCAGATTTCCCAAAGTTAGCCGGATCTACCATCATACGTGATAATATTCATGTTACAGACAATTGTCCAGTTTGTTTCAAGTATAATTATTATTTTCCCAAGTACAACGATTGTGATATAATCAAGAAATATGTTGACAATAAGCGAAGATACTGCAGAAATTTGTCTGATATCAGAGAATGTGGTTGTATTTGTAGAAACGACGCATTCGACACACAAGAGGAAAGGGTAATGCCATTGTGAGTACACTAAAAATGGATGAATTTCTTCAACATTTATATACATATATATTATATATATACATACACACACACACACACACACACACACACACACACACACACACACACACACACACACACACACACACACATACAGGATGTGGCTTAAATAGCAGACACTAACCATATAGCGTTATTCCTAATTAAAAATTGAGTCGAAAAGTCCTCTACAATTTTGCAATTTTTCGCAATGATTGACGAAATATTAATTTCTAAATATTGCCGAATAAACGCGTATCCGGCTGCCCAATCATTAACTATCACGAAAATTGCAAAATGGTAGAGAACTTTTTGATTCAATTTTTTATCAGGAATAGCATTATGTGATTCGGCTATCGCTTACTCAGCAATCTTTAGAAATTAATGTTTCATCAATCATTGCAAAAATTGCAAAATGGTAAAGGACTTTTCGACTTAATTTTTAATCAGGAATAGGGCTATATGATTAGTGTCCACTATTTAAGAAACACCCTGTATATACAATATGCGTGCGCATTTTTCATCTTTAGAATTTTAAAAAATTTCTCTAACAATAAGACTTCTTCTCACCGAGATATTTCAGATTTTGTGAAATACGAGAAAACTGCAAGCATCCCCAAATTTATGAATGGTGGTGTACACTCACACGCATCCACGCACGCATGCATGCGCGTTCGCGCGCATATATCTATATTAATTATACATATATGTACGTCTTTACAGATTACAGTCTAAAATCGAAAATCTTCAGAAAACTAAAGAAAAATGGTACACTCCTAAAATGACGGACAAGTAAGTAATTAAGATTCCCGATCGTTCTGCAACATACGTTTAACTTTTGAAAATATTCTTTCAGTATTGAGGAATGCGATTCGAAATACGCATACATTCAAGATTATTCTCCGAGCCATGGCTTTTATAAAAATTTGGAAAAATTTTACAAAAGAATGTATAAGCAAGCGAAAATGCGTGCACGAGAGACCGATGATTGATACAAAAAATCATATTATTGTTCAGATTTTTCTATAATGCGATTTTTATATCTTAATTTATGGATACGGTCCAAGCTACAAATGCTTTGAAGCATTTGATTAACCAACCGAAAAAAAGAATTTCATTAATTGACCAATAAAAAAAATTTCGAAACAGTAAGTGGACCATAACAAATATTACAAAATTCTAAAGTAGATTACTTTATGTGTGTATATATATGCATATCCGTGATATCAAACAAAGCAATCTTATTTAATAAAAGAAGATTTTTTATTACGATTAAGTAAAGTATTGATTAAAATATATGTTATGTACAAGTATTAACACGTTAAACGTTACGCTGGACCGACACCGAACTTTCCTTTTACGCCACGCCAGTCCTAAAATATCTCGCCAACTGTGTGGCGTAAATGGAAAGTTAAATGAAATAGGCTCAACACCGGGATAATTAACGAATCACACAAAAGACACAGCACGGTTTTCTAAAGCAATCTATCAAATATTTTAAAAAGTTTTTGGGACTGGCGTGGCGTGTATGTGTTAATACTTGTTCAATTGTTATCATATATATGCATTTTTGCAAAGACATTGTAATTGATACAAACATATAGTTATTGTCCTTTATCACAGTTTTATGAAATAAAAATAGATAATGAATGTGTAAATGAATTAATTATACATGTATATAAATGTTAGGGAATTTATGTGTAAAGCGAGACTACATTTAGATTATATGTACAATATACATGTGTAAAAGAAATATTTATTTTCTATATGCTTGTCGTCCGCTTTTGTATGTCGGTGTATCTGAAATTCGATGGCCACGTAGAGCGACAGATTTCCTCAAAAGTGCCGGTGTTCTTAGATATAAGCCGCGACCTTGTGGATTCCAAGCTTTCAATAAAACACGTTCAGCTTCTTCAGCAGCTATTGCGATCCATCCTGTAACAATGATAAAACCACGATTGTAAAGATACATTTTCACAAACCGCTCAAACCGAATGTTTCAGTGACAAAAAGGATCACGTGATTAAAATTAACGTTTGATATTCGTCAGTTTTAATTTTGTTGCTGAAACAGTCTGTTTGAGCGACTTGTAAAAATGTACCATAAGCCACTACGCAAATATAAATTTATTTATTACAAGGAAAAATTACCCGCACTGGATAAAACAATGTCAGAGATTGATTCGTTCTGACCAACACCAGTAATTTCCATCTCCTTAGATACTAAAGGCGGCCAATGTTTCAATCGGTCTGGATTATTTTCAGGTACGACAAACGCTTCCGTTTTAAGTAACTCGTTGTATACATTATCCGCATTCTCAGTACGAGTTAGAGTTATCGGTAATTCGTTACTTGAAAATATTGTACACCTACGACATATACAATTGTTTTTAATACTTGACATCTTTAATTTATTACGTTCTCATTAGCAATTACACACATAAATATGCATAAGTACCTAATAAAAGTATCGCCTTCTACGTAATCCAATCTTCCTATTCCACCCAAAAATATCGTTTGATTTACACGTAGAATGAAAGTTCTAGGTGAGATTATTTTCTTCGGTAAAACCGACAAAAGTTCCTGCATTGTCAGTAAATCCAATATTTGATCTGATTGAATGGTGCCAGGAGTATCGTAACACCAACGGCTTAGTTTGTATTCTTCCTTATTCTCATCAAATCCGAATTGCGTATTCTTCTTAAATTTTCTTTCCATGAATAGATTGTTTTCGGATGTTGATTGAAATGTTCTGCCTATATGACCTGAATTTAGAGTGTAACATTTACTTTCATATACTAACAAAAATGTAAAAATTTTCAATCGACTATACAATTTTATATACAATTGTGTGTTGTGATTGTAAGAAATTTACACCCAAGTACGATACATACTTTGCAATGTGGCGTACTTTAAATTACGTGTCATTTCGAATTGACTGATTCGAGATTTTTCTTCGGCATGCTTGTGCTGCTGTTCCATTTTTAATCGCAATGCTCTCAAATAAAGTCGCTTTCTAACAGGATTTAGAATAGGAAATTTCAACAAATTCAACGTTGTGCCTGGCCAAGGAGAAATAGTTGCACGTTGTATAAGATCCACAGCCTGTACTTTGCAATAATCAGATTGTAGAAGAGCATTGAACAGAGAGGATTTACCAACATTTGTGCATCCGATAACATAAACGTCTCCTAAAAATTATAATTATAATAAATACAAAATATGTTGGAGCATATGTTCTTCTACATTCTAGAATTCAGAATTCTAGATGATCAATTTTGAACCCTTACCTTTATATTTCCAGATGTTATGTAACTTATTTATAAGTTCTTCTATGCCATAGCCTGTTTTCGCAGATATAAGTTCTACATGTCTGATATTTTCTTTTTTGATTTTTGTACTTTCCACAGCCTTCAACAGGCAATTTTTAACATGAGTAAAAAATTGTTTCGAATCTTGAGGCAGCAAATCTACTTTATTTCCCACAACAAAAACTGGTGTTAAAGGATGCAGCACACTATTTATTTCAGGCCATATGCTACATGGAAAATCTGTAAGATCGACCATCAGAATGACAGCGCATTTCTTTGTTCTTATCACTTTTAAAAGTTTTGGGTATTCATCCGCAGATACTTTTACTTCTAACGTGGTGTTATAATAATGCATGAAATGACATCTTTGACAAATCATAACTCGCAATTCTTGATTGCTCCTCTTTTGAAACAACTCCGAAGGCAAATAACCTGGTAGAGCAGGGTCCTTACAATGCAACAAGGCTCCACATCCACCACATGGTATGGAACTAATACTAGAGTTTGGATCAGGAGTTCCATAATTGCCGAGCCAGGTATTGTCCTGTAAAGTATCATCGTATTGCTCAACGTCGACCATCCAATTAGATGGAACATTTGATGGAAAATCTTTCTTATATGTATCTCCTTCTCCTAAATAATCTTGTAAATTAAATTCTTCTTTTTCCAAATTCGCATCCTTTTCCATTAAATATTTTTCATATAGAGCTTTATACCTGCTGTTCAATGATATTGTATCTTCATCAAAATTATTTTCATTCATTTCAGAAGATGTGTCTACATTACTGTATGAATCTGTACTCGCATATGGCATATGTACAGGTTTGGTTGCATCTTCTTCTGCATTTATATATTTTTGTTCTAAGTGACTGTCGTCGTTTTCTTCATTTCTCTCATCCAAAAGTATGCTGTAGACAGGTACATTTGTAAGCTCATTCTTTCGTACTTCCCTCGCAAAATTCTCAGCTCTCTTATTCAATACCAAACGCTTCATGTAACTTAGTTTTACTTTATGATAATCTAAATAGTCGCAATATATCAATTTCTCTCGTAGTGCTTCGACTCTGGGATCGAGAGACGATTGAATTCCATCCGCTTTCGTGTTGCATTTCGTCGAATAAAAGAAAGCCTGAATCAGTTTATAGCGACAGGTTCTTAAATGACAATACGTATTATCTGTACAGAGTTTCCACGCAGAATACTTTACAAAATTAATCAATTTGATATTATTTAAAGACAACATCATAAACGTAACATGTGTTCCAGGGTGGCACGGTGGCATGTATCCGTTACTTTATAAAGGTTAGAATTTGTAAAAGGAGCAGATAACCTTTTCTCGATGAACACGGAGTAATAGAAAAGAGTAAAATCTCTGCAATTTACTGTGGACTCCGTAGCGGCACAAAAATTCGTAGCGATTCTGTCGTTCTTCTTCTTCTGTATTTGAATGGCCCAGGTTCCAATGTGGTCGGATTCTCGGATTCACATGGCCAGGATTCTGTCATTGACAACCGTGTTTATCCGGTATAACCTACGTTTACTACATATAGCCAGAAAGAAACCTGAGAGAGGACATGACGGCCCAAAACCTGTAACTGCAAAATGCTGCCGCGCACTACCGTCCTCTGAAGAAGTAGATGTTAACTACACAACAATATTCACGTATTTTACCCATC